GTGTTCTTCAGAAGAACGAAGGACGACGTGGACAAAGCTCGGAATCGACATCGAAAAGACAGCTGCAAGTTGTTTTGTTGGCCTCTCCACTTCTTTAAGTAAAAAAATGACGAACTTACAAGAAAAGAATCCTCGGATACAACCCCTTTATGGATAAACGGTTCAATTTGTGCTCGCACTTCACCATCATCGTTTCTTACATCAATATTTGGCGTATCAACTCGCAGAGAAACGATATCCTCAACATCGTACGGTAGCGAATTGTAAGCGTTAACCACTCTGAAGTAAGGGATTTGACAGACAAGTCTGTTCAACGTAACTTTCTGTGAGAAATGACTCACACGTTGCCTAATTCTCCGACTTTGAGAATTTCCAATGCTTCCGTTTCGCTGTGGGTATTTGAATATTCCAGCTTAATAGATAAAATTTCTAAAATCTATAGCTGCTTCCATTAAAAAACTCGTTTTCGGATTACATAAAGTTTCTTTAAATCAATGTTTCCAGTTAATTGTTTATTGCTAGTTGTAAGAAAACTACTGCCTCTAGTTCCGTTAGAATTGTTTCGTATTTCCTGCTCCTATCTATTCAGAATTAATAAATTAAATTTACAATGATTAAGCAAAAAACAATGCCGTTGTATAGTTCTTACTATAGTTGCACCACCTTTGATGTATGACGGGTGTACGTCATACGTTATCAATAGCACGTTTACAGTATCAGGGATTTGGGATCCTTAGAGGTTAGCGTATCTCTTTTAATAAAATTTTCTCAACCTTCCACATCGATAGATTTTCCTTCTGGATCATAAAGACTGTCTACAGCGCATCAGCTCGATTAAGCAGACCTCACAAATTTCGCTTGCTCATGTCAAATTCCCTATTAAGACACGACCTTTGTTAGAAAAGGCGCTACATTCTCTACATCCACCTTTTCTTCTTATTATCGTCTATGAAACATTTTTGACGTACCGTATGCACTGTACCTCCGGAAAGAACGCTTGCAGCTGCTTCATAAGCCGATCGAGCAAGGCTGCTTGCATTATGAAGCAGTAGTGAGTAGTCCTTCATTACGTGCTTTCGGCTGGTGCCTGAAATTCGTTGTGAGACCCGCGCAAATTCAAGGAGTCTCCTTCACTGTTAATTTTATTCAAATATACGTACTTTCACCTAGGCTTGCAAGTTAGATTGAAAACTAAAGCTAGTTATATCTCCATTTAAGACAACTTACTAAAATGAAGAATTTTTTTAACGGAGACTTATTTTGCGTTCAATTTGATAAGAGAAAGAATGGAAAACTATGAATAGATAGCCTTGTCTTTTTTTTCTGGGATAAGGTTAGAGAACCAAGTTTGAAAAGTGTTACATAGATTGATTTCCTGCACTAACCTGTAATAGCATCATGATGTTGAAGAAGACTAAGAGTTCTGCGTGCATCCTGAAGTTTACGACTGATATTCTTCTCCGAATCTTCGTCCATTTTATGTCTTGCCTGGGCAGAAATCAAGTCAGCAGCACGAATAATATTCTGAAATGTTTATTAAGTGGGTTAGGTCATAGCATAAGGAGATCTTGCTTACATGTAGAGATCGTTCCTGTCTTTTGACAAACGGCCGTGTTGTGAAGTATCCACTCCAGAGATCACCAAGAGCGCATCTGAAGTTTCTAGTAAGCTTTATCAAGCAAAGAAATCATGAAAACTCGAAAAGGGTCAAATGAGAGCGAATTATTAGGTGCATAGACAGAATCTGTAATCGTAATAAGATCTACTAGAGATTTGGAGTAAAGAAATGGAGATATTATTTGTCAGGTCTCATGTTTAAATTAAATGTGATATTCTTTCCCTTACTAATTCATAAAATATGTGTAAAAGACTTACTTGTACGGAAAGAAATCGCCCGAGAGTGTCACAGGTTGTTTTCCATTATCTTTGTACCATTTTTCCAATTCGTTGAAGTAGTCCGAAAAGGTACCAAAACTGCAATGAATTTTCTTTTGACCCTTAAAGATATCAGTGGGCGAAAATGAACTGTTTAAAGATTTGCATATCCTCTAAAATTTCTGAACATAGAATGAACATACCGAATTTCCGCAAGGCCGCTCTTGTTAATTTCCTCAAAAATTGGAAGAAAATTATCGTGTTGCTGATGCCATTCGTCAAGCATATTGTAACGGAAATCATCACCATGTACCATCAAAAGTACATTCGATTCGTACATTTGTGCCATCTCTTGAAGTTGTGACACCAATTTTCGAGCTCTGCAATAATTCTAAACATCTACAATAGTATAATCACTAATTAAAAGTATTAGTTATATTTTTAAGTGTTGAAATACTTACTTTGTCTCAACATTCGATGGGTTTATAGCAACAGGCTTAGGGCCAGGGCATGACCAGTGTGTAATCCTTTTAAAGTCAAATTCACAGCATACTGACGGGTTTGGACCACATGAGTTCAGAATATCGTAATGTGTATACGGTAATAGATGTGTCAACATATCCGACTCTCCAGTTGTGTCTGTAAATTAGCATCTAGTAGTTCAGATATGTAAGATTGTGGGCGTCAAGTCATTTCTTAATTTCTACATCTTATACCTTTTTGAAGCGATTTTAGCACTGATCATTACTTCTTACTAAATGAATTCCTTTTCGACTTTTTCAACTATGATAAACCAGTTATTAAAATTAGAATTGTATTTAACTAAATTTTGCTGTAAACCTTTTTCATTATTTCCATCTAATAAGCAGAAGACGAGCCTTACCAAAGTACTGTCGCCATCTGAATGGTATAGCTCTCATACTTTGCAAATATCTCTTGATATCGTGATGTACCCGATTAATTACTGCCCGTTTTATACCTAAATGAGCTCAAAAAGTGCAAATATGAACTAACCTTAAGAATAACCTACCTGCCTGTGTAAATATGTACTGGATAGAGTTGCTATAGCCGAATGGATCGTTTGACCATACCACAGAGGGTGAAATAGTTCCTAAAGGCAATTTGAAGATTTCGTTACGGCAAATTGTGACATTTACTTTTTTATCAAAATCCAAACACCTTATACGGTTGATTTTAGCGAGGTCTGAGAAGTATAGCATGAGATAAAAGTTGCAGGACTACCTAGCCTAGGACAAAAGTCAAAAACAGGATTACGTAGCCTAGTACTGAAAAACTGCATAAATCATGCCTAACTTGGTTTTTTTCTAATTAGGTTTATTTCAAAGAACATTTCATTTTGTAATTCTCATTTATCAACTGTTTTGCTTTTTCTATACTATATGGCACACCTATGTATCAATTAAAAGATAATTAAATTGTCATGTCTCCTTGGCAACAGAAGAGTGGTATCGCAAATGAGATCACGTAGCTTAAGGATGATGATTTGCATTAATGCATAGCTTCATTTTTTCGGTTATGTTAATTAATCTTATCGAAGACAAGTGATTTCCGTTTATATTTCGATTTTTTCAATTACTATGGGATTATGCTAATTGCATTTTAAACATTTTACATTCTATCCTTCTCCCAAATCAGTTTCGTATTATACTAGGTATAATTGAGCTTTTTGCAAAATATATTTTTATTTGAACAATTTGATACCCGATTATACCGAATATGTGTTCTTACAAAAAAAGGCGAATAAAAACTTACCAAATTCTTGCTTTAGGAACTGATGGCCCTCCACGATGTTATCAACGGTAATAGGAAAGTAAACATTGGCTTCATCGGTCATTACCCAGGAGCCAGACGCTAACTCTAATCGGCCACTTAGCACTAACCTATGTAGAAATATTAATTTGTACATAATAATTTACAACGAAACATACCTACGAACGTTTTCGCGAACGACTGCACTTTGTTTTATCCACCATCTTTCAAAAAATGCCAATTCTGCCCACATAAATGTCATATTTGGATTTGTGGTCATGAAATTGTGCATATTGTCCAAGATGGCGTCGGTTTCTTTCGAATACGAGTCAAATGTTTGCAACCAGCCTGATATTCAGGAGAGTTTTTTGTAACCCAACTCTCATCAATGCTAATACCTGGATCGACATGGGTAAATGGTAATACGAACACCTTCAGTTTGTCTATGGATGGATGCCGTGGATGCGAATTTTTCGGATGGTTCACTCCATTTTTCGCCACTTGTTCACGGTATAAATCAAACATCTAAAGATAACCTCTGTTGTAGATAAGCTGATGGTGTCGAGCTGTAGAAAACTTACATCAAACTCAGCTGCATCATTGTTATGTGGGCTCGGCTTACAGGCTTCTGCTCCCACAACAGTTATGAGCTCCTCCGGCTCGAATGTGTCCTCGAGAGACTCATCCTCTTTGGTGGCATTTCTCTCATAGCTGCTAACCCCATTCTGGAAATGAGAGCGGTATGAAAATGGCGATTTGTAAGATGCCAAGAATGCATAGATTTACAACCTTGAATCCTACGGAATAGATGGTTAAGGCTGTGATTCCAAGAAGTACAACTATGACAGCTCGACCCTTTCGACGTCCATATCGGATGTACATCTAATCTAAAGACATATAAATTAGGAAAATTTATGTGTTATAAAATTGCAAATCGGACCGTTATGCTGTGGCTTTTGAATCAAGAATCTCCTTCAAATGGATTATCAATAATTTTTTACTCTTCAAGTTTAAACTGGTACGAGTAGCTGTATTTTGAAAATAATTCCAATTTCAAATTTGGCGCAGTCTTGCAGAAACAGGCAGAAATTAAACATCGCCTCCACGTAGCTCATTATAAACCCATGAAATTCTACCAGACCTTCCTTACCAAGCTTAGATCAAATGTATGTATAATCTACAATACCAACTCGTATAAACGCGGAACTTCATGAAATTGACAGCTAATATTTTTTTGAAGAGAAACATGATGACAAATAGAACAGAAGCAGTGCCAACATGTTGGTCACATTTACAGATGAACAGCTATATGATGTGGCTCAGTCTTCATTATTTCGATAAAATAAAAGCCTATAATACAACTTCCACAAACTTAAAGTAATTTAGTTTCAACGATATTGCAAAACTTATAAAAGTAGCTCTCTCCAAATTATATGATGTTGAAGTCAGATCAAATCTTAGCTCAGTCACATGCTTATTTGTTGCTAGAGACACAAAAATTGTTTAATTAGCTGCTTGTTCCAAACACAGTGATTGATTTTGTTTGACACAAAAATGAAGCCCACAGCAATCAATCAAAATTCGAAACGAAAAATTGATAGACTAGAAACTCTTTGTTTTTCCTTCTGAAAATGAGAGATTATATTGTTAGATGTGCCTTCTTAATAGCATGGAAGAGGCATACATTTCTACAAATAGTCAAGTTGATAATTTTAATTGTAAGTCAGCCAAATTTCGTACTGCATCTGGTAGTTTGAACCATAAAGTAACAGAAATGTTCATATTGTCGTACCGCGCATTCAAACTTGTCTATTCATTTAAATAAAATTTTATAGGCTACCAAGGATTTGCTCATCAAAAATTGCATATTGATTTAAGAATAGCATTTTGATGTAAGAACTATAAGGTTGATGTAGAATCCATGACACACTATTGCTATCTCTTCTAACAACAGATTAGGATACCATACCCCTTTGTAAGGATGCAGTATAGAGTGCTAAAAACTGGTGCACAGAATATAGGCTTTTTTCGTACAAAAACGAGGACTATACTATAGATTCAAAAAAAAACACAGTCCTGTTCTGACAATATAATGTAGAGTGCATCTTTTCTAGAACAAGCTTGGTAGACAAACAAATAGGGCAACGTGAGGCAGTATTTGACTTTCTCGACAAAATCAATTTGGTTATCCCAAATTCTATTGTTTAACTTTCGAGTAAAATAGGAAAAACACTAGCAAAAGTGTATGATGCTTCCCTTATAATCATCGTCTATGACGCTTGTCATTCTTCTTTTACAAATACAGTGCTCGCAACAGAGTGTGGGAA